TCTTTTAGAAAATCAACGTTTGTTTGGTCCTTAAAAAACTATTCTTTAAAAAATCCACGTTCCTTTTGGTCCTTAAAAAAATTCTTTAAAAATCAACGTTCCTTTGGTCCTTGAAAAAAAAATTTTAAAAATCTACGTTCCTTTGGTCCTTGTAAAAAAATTAAAAATCAACTTTGGTCCTTGAAAAAAAAATTAAAAATCAACTTTAATCCTTGAAAAAAAATTCTTTTAAAAATCCTCGATCCTTTTGGTCCTTATAAAATATTCATTAAAAAATCCACGTTCCGTTTGGTCCTTGAAAAAATATTCTTTAAAAAATCCTTGAAAAAAATATTTTTTAAAAAATCCACGTTCCTTTGGTCCTTGAAAAAAATATTTTTTAAAAAATCCACGTTCCTTTGGTCCTTGAAAAAAATATTTTTAAAAAATCCACGTTCCTTTGGTCCTTGAAAAAAATATTTTTAAAAAATCCACGTTCCTTTGGTCCTTGAAAAAATATTTTTTAAAAAATCCACGTTCCTTTGGTCCTTGAAAAAAATATTTTTTAAAAAATCCACGTTCCTTTGGTCCTTGAAAAAAATATTTTTTAAAAAATCCACGTTCCTTTGGTCCTTGAAAAAATATTTTTTAAAAAATCCACGTTCCTTTGGTCCTTGAAAAAATATTTTTTAAAAAATCCACGTTCCTTTGGTCCTTGAAAAAAATATTTTTTAAAAAATCCACGTTCCTTTGGTCCTTGAAAAAAATATTTTTTAAAAAATCCACGTTCCTTTGGTCCTTGAAAAAAATATTTTTTAAAAAATCCACGTTCCTTTGGTCCTTGAAAAAAATATTTTTTAAAAAATCCACGTTCCTTTGGTCCTTGAAAAAAATATTTTTTAAAAAATCCACGTTCCTTTGGTCCTTGAAAAAAATATTTTTTAAAAAATCCACGTTCCTTTGGTCCTTGAAAAAAATATTTTTTAAAAAATCCACGTTCCTTTGGTCCTTGAAAAAAATATTTTTTAAAAAATCCACGTTCCTTTGGTCCTTGAAAAAAATATTTTTTAAAAAATCCACGTTCCTTTGGTCCTTGAAAAAAATATTTTTTAAAAAATCCACGTTCCTTTGGTCCTTGAAAAAAATATTTTTTAAAAAATCCACGTTCCTTTGGTCCTTGAAAAAAATATTTTTTAAAAAATCCACGTTCCTTTGGTCCTTGAAAAAAATATTTTTTAAAAAATCCACGTTCCTTTGGTCCTTGAAAAAAATATTTTTTTAAAAAATCCACGTTCCTTTTGGACCTTGAAAAAATATTCTTTAAAAAATCCCTTTGGTCCTTAAAAAATATTCTTTACAAATCCACGTACTTTTTGGACCTTGAAAAAAAAAACTTTAAAAAGTCCTCGTTCCTTTGGCTCTTGAAAAAAAAATCTTTAAAAAATCCACGTCCCCTTGGCCCTTGAAAAAATATTCTTTAAAAATCCACGTCCCTTTGGCCCTTGAAAAAATATTCTTTAAAAAATCGACGTCCCTTTAGCCCTTGAAAAAAATACTCTTTAAAAAATCCACGTCCCTTTGGCCGATGAAAAAAATATTCTTTAAAAAAACCACGTTCCTTTTCGACATTGAAGAAATATTCTTTCAAAAATCCACGTTCCTTTTCGACATTGAAGAAATATTCTTTCAAAAATCCTTTTGGTCATTGAAAAAATATTCTTTAAAAAATCCACGTTCCTTCGATCTTTGAAAAAATATTCTTTTAGAAAATCCACGTTATATTGGTCCTTGAAAAAATATTCTTTAAAAAATCCACGTCGCTTTGGCCCTTGAAAAAAATATTCTTTAAAAAATCCACGTCGCTTTGGCATTGGAAAATAATATTCTTTAAAAAATCCACGTCCCTTTGGCCCTTGAAAAAAATATTCTTTAAAAATCCTTGAAAAAAAAAATTCTTTAAAAAAATCCACGTTCTATTGGTCCTTGAAAGAATATTCTTTTAGAAAATCAACGTTTGTTTGGTCCTTAAAAAACTATTCTTTTAGAAAATCAACGTTTGTTTGGTCCTTGAAAAAATATTCTTTTAGAAAATCAACGTTTGTTTGGTCCTTAAAAAACTATTCTTTAAAAAATCCACGTTCCTTTTGGTCCTTAAAAAAATTCTTTAAAAATCAACGTTCCTTTGGTCCTTGAAAAAAAAATTTTAAAAATCTACGTTCCTTTGGTCCTTGTAAAAAAATTAAAAATCAACTTTGGTCCTTGAAAAAAAATTAAAAATCAACTTTAATCCTTGAAAAAAAATTCTTTTAAAAATCCTCGATCCTTTTGGTCCTTATAAAATATTCATTAAAAAATCCACGTTCCGTTTGGTCCTTGAAAAAATATTCTTTAAAAAATCCACGTTCCGTTTGGTCCTTGAAAAAATATTCTTTAAAAAATTGCATTTATTTGATTGAAGATCTTTGAAAAAATATTTTGTAAAAAATCCACATTCCTTTGGTCCTTGAAAAAATATTACTCTAAAAATTCCTGCAATCCTCTCAAAATTTCTAAGCTCCGTCCACATCTCCATTAAGATTATCTAACGAATTATTCAAAAGAAAATTAACAAAGTAGCAAAGCATAACGGCAGTGGCCAAGGAAAGTAACTAATTAATGGCCTTAATTACTTTTTTTTTTTGTTCTTGACAAAGAGAGCTAAAAACCATTTGCCAACCAAACCAACATAACCTCATTTCATAATTTATTCCTAACTGGGCAAAATAATGACATACCAATGTTAATTTTCTGTTTTTGTGGAAAATAATTACTTCCAAAGAAATGGGAAAATACGTTTATCAAAAGGAAATGCTAGTAACCGAGAAGCTGCTTAATGCAAAGACCCTAGGCTAACTACTAAAGTAGGAAAAATCTTAGAGAAAATAAGGTTTTCCACGAAATATGCCGTTTTTATTCTGTTGCTGTTGTTGCCACCCAACAACTTAAATTACATTCAGCGAAAAAGTAATGGCGTGAAAAAAAAACTTTTGGCCAAAGAGCCATGATTTCTGGCATGCCTAACAGTTTTGTATTTTGATTTCTGAGTTTTTTTCTCTTTTTTTTTTTTGAGAACACATTCTACACGCAACACTGATGAAATGGTGCTAAGTACTGACTTGATAACAGTATTCATTAAAGTTTAATTATTGGTTTTGTTTTTGCTACAGAGTAGTCTTTGATTTGTGAAAAGGTGGGTGGATAAGAATTTTTTTTGGGTTTGAGTTTTGATTTTGTGTTTTGATATTTCATTAAATTGTTTTTGTTGGGAAAAATACTCCCACATTAATGGGAGAATATCATTATGTGCTCTGAGCTCCTTATCTACTTTCGTGGACTTTGGTCGTTTGTATGAAAACTCTGCGTATGAGTGATGTGAAATTTATGAAATCACTCATACGCTTAGGAAATAGTGTACCAGACTATGAACTAGATTCACACAACTCTATATGCACATCCTTGAAGAGATATTTTTAAAAATTCTCTGATAGTCCAACAGTCCTTGAAACAAGTCTTCTAAAAAATCCAGGACAATTGCCCTGCTCTTACTTACAAATATATTTTAAAAATCCACGACTATTGCCCTGTTAGTCCTTAAAAAATACATTTTAAAAATCAACAACTGTTGCTCTGCTAGTCCTTCGGAAAAATATTCTTTAAAAGTCCACGAATGTTGTCCTTAAAAAAATATTCTTTAAAAATCCAGGACTTTTGTTCTGGAAAAAAATTATCAAAATTCCACAACTGTTGTCCTTTAAAAAATATTCTTTTTCTAATCTCCGGCTGATGGTCCGTGAAACTGTATTCCATAACAATCCACATCTGTAGCCTAATAGCTCTTGTAAAATAATCTCCAAAATTTCACGATAGTAAAAATTTGGTTTGAAACCCTTAAAAAATATTCCTTAAAATCCACAAATCTAGCACTGGTTGTCCTTGAAAATTTATGCTTTAAAGATCCACGTCCTTTGTCCTGATATTCCTTTAAAAATGTATTGAAAATGATTATTTAAAAATTCATGTCCTTAACCTTGACAGTCCTTGAAAAATTAAAAAAAAACTTAACAGTTCTTGAAACAAATTTTTTTTTTTTTTAAAAAGATCCACAACTGTTGCCATGCTAGTCCTTAAGAATATATTTTAAAAATCCACGACTGTTGCCCTGCTTGTCCTTAAAAATATATTAAAAATTCTCGACTGTTGTCCTGTTAGTCCTTGAAAAATATTCTTTAAAAAACCGACGACTGTTGTCCTTGGAAAAAATATTCTTTAAAAAAACCATGTTCTATTGGTCTTTGAAGACATATTCATTAAAAATTCACGGTTATTGTCCTTTAAAAAAATATTTTTAAAAAACCCACGAATGTTGCCCGGCTATTCCTTGAAAAAAAAATCATTCAAAAATCCTCGCTTATTTGGTCTTTGAAAAATATTCTTTAAAAAATCCACGTTCTATTGGTCCTTGAAAAAATATTCTTTAAAATATCCACGTTCCTTTTGGTCCTTGAAAAAATATTCTTTAAAAAATCCACATTCTATTGGTCCTTGAAAAAATATTCTTTAAAAAATCCACGTTTTATTGGTCCTTGAAAAAATATTCTTTAAAATATCCACGTTCCTTTTTGTCCTTAAAAAAATATTCTTTAAAAAATCCACGTTCTATTGGTCCTTTGAAAAAATATTGTTTAAAAAATCCACGTTCTATTGGTCGTTGAAAAAATATTCTTTGGAAAATCCACGTTTTATTGGTCCTTGAAAAAATATTCTTTAAAAAATCCACGTTCTATTGGTCCTTGAAAAAATATTCTTTAAAAAATCCATGACTATTGTCATTGTAAAAATATTTTTTTAAAAAATCCACATTCTATTGGTCCTTGGGAAAATATTCTTTAAATATATTTATTAAAATATTTAAATACCTAAATAAACTTTTTTAAGTTTTTTAAATTTATTAATTTATTTTCTTTCTTCTCATTTCTTTCCAGAATTTACAAAATTATTACTCTAAAAAGTGGCAGCTTTGAAGTATGAACCTCATTTCGAAAAATAGCAACAACTTAAAACAACAAAACATAACATTTTATTCTTTGCAACAACAACAACAACAAATTAAATTTATAGATAAAAATGATAATTATACTCAAATTTTTAACTTAAATGAAAAACAAAAAAAAATACAATTTTTATTAAAGAAAAATCTATATAATTATGAATACGGCAAACAAAAGTAAAAAAACAATTATAATCAAAATTTATTTATATAAACAGAAAAAAAAAACAAAACAACAAAATTATGGGAATATAAAACCTGAAGACTTTTCTTTAAAAGAAGTCTTCGAAAATTTTTTTTTCAAAACCTAAAATTATATACAAGAAAATAAATAACTAAAAAATAATAATATTTTTTGGGATAAACAAAAACACCACCTTATTAAAGGAAAATTATTACAAATAAATATAAAAAAATAACAAAATTTACTATTCAATTTCTATAAAAGAAATTCAAATTATAAAATAAAAAAAATATATTTTTGTTAAGCTTAATGTTATTATATATATACTTATATTAAAGTGAAGAGAAAAAAACAAAAACACTTTTTCAACAAAAAAGTGCAACAACAAAACATGATGAGCAAGAAAAACAAAACAACAACAACAAAAACATAGTTTAAGTTTTTATTTTTACAATGCATACTATTATTAAACAAAAATAATATATATATTAATAATAATATCAATATAAATGTTAACAATATAATTTATATTATATAAAGTGGAAGGAAGGAAAGGAAAAAAAAAAAACAAAACCAGTTGAAGTATACTTAATTTTTTGTGTTTCCTAATTTTTAAGTTAATTTATAATGAGACAAGCAAACAAAAATAAATAAACAAAACTTAATTATTATATTTTTAAAACCATAAAATATAATAAAAAAATTAAAAAATAAACAAATGAAAAAATGTTGAAATAATAAATCAATAAAATGGTTAATTATTGATAAAAGAAAATCAAACAAATGTTTTCAAAGAAAATAGTTTGACATATTTTTCGAGCCACGAGAAAAGAGAAGAGAAAGAAAATTTATTTCTGGCAAGAAAGAAGGAAAGATGGATGTTGTGGTACCGTAACGTATGAGTAACGTCAGCACTTATACGATCCATAGTAGAGATAATATTTATTTAATTATACATACACTCAGCCATGTGGCTACTGAGGGCCTCATCGTGCCTCATCGAAATAACGATTTTGGATCCAAGGTCTCTTTGGACCAAATCCGTTTCAGAACATTTGGAGACGATCTAGCGATGTCCGTCTATTGCGGGGCTGGTGCGCACGATAAGTCTCGAAGGAGTATCCAATTTGGTACAAACTTGGTACATCGTAATATTTTTATCAAACTTTCATGAAGTTCAACTATGTGCAATGTCGGCCCACTTCTTCTGGTACTTTCCCCACAAAATGTCAAGACTTTCACAGAAAATTATTTTTTATAGAACATGAAAGGACGATCTAATACAAATACAGGATGAGATTAAAAAACTGCAACAAAATCAAAAGCCATATTTTTTACATTTTTTTTTTAATTTTATTTAATGAAAGAAAAACATGTCACAAAAAAAACATGTTAATGAAAGCAAATTTCATCAAATTTTAGAATAAATTTAGATTTGTTCAAATTGGTCACCTTTGGCACGAATTCAAAGGGCCAGCGAAACCGTCACACGCTACCCGAATGTTACTCTGCGGTATTTTGGCCCATTCCCGGCGAGGCCCTTGCTTGAGGTGATCGCCACGTTGGTATTTTTTAGTGCCAACCTTGCTTTCCAAAATACTCCAGACACAATAATCCAACGGATTGGTATCCGGAGATTTTGGTGGCCATTGTGTACTGAAAATGAAGCGAGGAACCACATTTTGCAACCATTCTTGGTTGGCGGGTGCTGAGTGCGATGGTGCTGAGTCCAAATATTCTTTAAAAAATCCACGTTCTATAGATCCTTGAAAAAATATTCTTTAAAAAATCCACGTTCTATAGATCCTTGAAAAAATATTCTTTAAAAAATCCACGTTCTATAGATCCTTGAAAAAATATTCTTTAAAAAATCCACGTTCTATAGATCCTTGAAAAAATATTCTTTAAAAAATCCACGTTCTATAGATCCTTGAAAAAATATTCTTTAAAAAATCCACGTTCTATAGATCCTTGAAAAAATATTCTTTAAAAAATCCAGGTTCTATTGGTCCTTGAAAAAATATTCTTTAAAAATCCACGCCCTGTTTGCCCATTTTCCCAAATCTCCATTTCTATGTGGAATATTTTTGCAATTACTTTCTTTTTTGGTTTGTCAACATCTTCGAATGTCCACGGTCTGCTTCCAAAATATTTGCGTGCTCAAGGCTTTAAAACACCCCCTCCAGAATATTTTTGCGATAATTTTTGGGATTTATTCTGATGCCACGGTCGATTAATACGAGTGGAGAACGACCATCGACTGTTATGGCGGCCCACACCATCACCATGGCCGGTGCTTGAGCTCTAGTGGCCAACCGAAGTTGCACATTTTCAGCTGACCTCTTTGCAAGCAAACACGATCATTTTGTTTGTTTGCAAACTGGACAACGGATGTTTTCTCATCGGAGAAAACCAAATTTGGCCGTTCACCACTTTTGACCAAGCGAAGCAACTCTTTAGCTCTTTTGAGTCTATTTTCTTTCTGTTGCGGTGTCAGTTCGGCAGCTCACCACTTTCGGGCAAGCGAAGCTACTCTTTGGCCCTTTTGAGTCTATTTTCTTTCTGTTGCGGTGTAAGTACTTGCACTTTTTGGAATTTCAATGGCTTTACCCCGAGCTCAGTTTTCAAGATTTGCCGAATGGAATATTGCGATATGTTCAGCTCACGAGCCATTTTTCGGCCACTGTGACGCGGGTTTCGATCAAGTCGCTTCTTTACTTTTCGAACCAATTCTGCTGATGTTGCTTTTTTCTTACGTCCACTTCCACCCACTTCCTTGACGTCGGACAACGCTACCAGTATCACGGTAACGAGCGATGGTACGAGACACAAAATATTTATTCACATTTAAATGCTTAAAGTGCTCTAACGATAGCCACTTGTAGTTTTCCAGCCAAATATAAAGAAATCACCCTATCGCGCTTGAATTCCATCACGAATAACTTTTTTTTCTGGAAAATTCTCACCAAAATGCTTTTGTGCGCTTGCAAACCATATAATGAGCTGTCACTGAAATAATTTAAACAGCTGTCGGACGAGTGGCTTAGAAATGACAGCAGTCTGAAGTTGGTTGCAGTTTTTTTATCTCACCCTGTATATCCAGGAACACCTTTCAAAAGATTATTACTAAAAATACAATTTAGATCAACATATGTAATCCCTTTTCCTTATATAGGACTCTATATTTCTCTATTTTATCCAAATATACATTTGTGCACAAATTTCCATTTCTATGTGGAGTATTTTCAACACACATCTGCTTCTGCAATTACTTCCTTTTTTTGGTATGTCAACGTCTTTTAAATTTGTAGTGCAGTTTTTTGTTCTAGCCGAGAGATTTGCATTTTTTGCTCTCCCAATTGTGTTACTCTCCGAATACATTGTTTTTCATCGAAGACGCGCGTGCATTGCGTGGCCCCTTTCTAATTGCATGTTTTTTATTCTAATGTGACTTATGACCACGTAATGTCTTTACCTTATTGTAGCATTATCTCTTATTGTCCAAACATATATTCTTCCTCTATGAGCTCTACTTCATATATTTTACCTTATTCTTTTTGCAACAAAATGATTGGCGCCAAATGTTTCCAACTAATATCAAACAGGAAGGGATAGAGAGAGAGAGAATGAAAAATGCTTTCTAAAGTAAGGGCTGATGACATTTGTATGAGTGATGCCATTGTAGTGATTTCTTGCACATACACTTAACTTGTAAAGATTTTAGGCAAGGAGGAATAAAGCGCTCTCTTTTTGTTCAAGCTCATTATTCTCTTTTTCTCTCTTATAAATATTTCATGCATATTATGATCAAAATGGCGTGTGAAAATATCAATTTTCTCAACGCACATGAGCAAAGGGTCCACGGCGTTTGTGTAAGTAATGCTATTCAAGCGTTTTCTTGCACATACAGGTTGTTTTTTGAAACAAAAAAATACCGTTTTTTCCTTAACTATTATCCCAAACTGTAAAAGAAGAAATGAGTAGAAATTAAATAACTAAAATATTCTCTCAACGCACATAAATAAATAACTGACGGCGGTTAAAATAACTTATGCTATTGTCAACCTTAACCTTTACGTGTCACTTTAATTGCAAAAAAAAGGTGTAAAAATTTTAGCCAAGTTTGAGTTAAAAAAAATGTGGCATTCCTTTGCAATCCACAAATTTGACAGAGTAAAATTTGCAAGAGTGTTGCTAATGTTCACGTTTTTTTTTTTTTGTGGGCAATGTCGCTCCTCCTGGGTATATTTCTTTGAAAAGTTTCGCCATTATAAAAGTAAATGAACCCAATTTTCATAAATTGTATAAATATTTAGAACATTTGGGCCAATATGTAAAGCACAAATCGGGAATTTTTTAAACCACTATATATTTCGAAAGACATGGATTTTTGAAATATTTTTAAGCCTCTCTTGGTTCATAAGTTGCTATTTTTTTAATATTTTGTTCAACCTTCTGAATTTCAAATAGCTTAGCTTCCATAAAGAATTTTTGAACTTTCCTACAGTCCAAAAAGAGGGAAGAGCCTTACAATACGTTTACGCTGTAGAGAATTTAGAAAACCCAGTCGGTTTAAGTTGTCAATTCCTTTGAATATACCACAAATAAATCTTGATAAAAAAGGTTAACCCCGAAAAAAGTTCTAACATAAACATGCCTTCATTGTAATGGAACCTTCGCTTTTTAAAAATTTGGGGGTAGCAGAATTGGTCATAAGTCAAGTATTTACGTGGTTTTGACTTGTTATAATAATGACTTTTCTTAAAAAGAAGGTCTTCCACCATAATACTTCCGTATCGAATGTTGTTTACCTATGCAAGAAATCCGCCAATATTTTATTTATTTTGGCTGTAAATGGATGATTTTTTTTCAATTTCAATTTAATTGTATTTTTATATAAAAAATTTTAAACATTAGCCGCTCTGCTCCGAAATGTGATCGTATACTTAACGATAGCACACATACGTTACATGGTTCCAAAGCAAATATTTGTTGATCTGTTTTCATCAAATGACGATAATTAAGACAACAAAATGTCCCCAAGAATCCTTTCTTCAAATGCCAAACAAATATTCTCTCTCGGGTAAAAAGAAGAAATTATGAAAGCAAATCATATATTGTCAAACTATTTGTAATAAAAATAAAACATTAAACATTATTTTTCGGATAAGTCTGAATGTGAGAGTGATACTTGTGTTAAGGGTGCTGCAATAATAACTAGAGAAAACCAAAACAAACCTGAACAAAAACAAACATTAAGAAACCAACCAACAAAGCAAACACATGCGAAAACCATAAAAATCAAAATCAAGCAGAAAGAAAAAAATAAGGAAATAAAAAAAAACAGCCACACAAAAAGTCCAAAAGCAAATGTTCTTCAGTAGAAACCACATGGACAGCAAGGCAAATAACTCAC